CCGGATTTTGTTTTTTCGGAGCTCAATCGATGCAAAATCGTTTGATAGTTGGGAATTAATTAATAAAAACGTTTGATAGTCCATCATTTGCAAGAAAAATGAAAAAAACCATATGCGAATCAAGGATCTCAATCGATACGATACAATCGATTCCTCGATCGGTGTGTCCATTGACTTAGACAATATAACAAACTTTTTCTACTTCCAATCGTTTGATAGTCGTTCGATAGTGTTTGATAGTATTGTAAAAACGTTTCATAGTTAATAGTTTCTTTCAGATACCAGTGTCGCGATCAGATGCATCCAATGAACAGAGAAATAACGATGCGCTCTCCGCTCTCGGCTCATTCTCGAACACACCTATAGTGCTCCGCCGCGCGTGAAAAAGCTTCCACGAATGGAAATATAGGTTTTCCAGGGCTCAATCAATACAAAATCGTTTGATAGTAGCGAATTAATTAATAAAAATGTTTGATAGTCCATCGTTTGCAAGAAAAACGAGAAAAACCATATGCTATGCGTATCCTCCATTCTAGTCACAATCATGATGTACTATTAGTGTAAACCCACACATACACCGTTGTACAACTGTCAGCAGACGCTGAATGGTTAAAACGTGTCTGAATACCGTTTCAACCAATCACCGCACTGCTATACAAGTAATGTTGCATCCCCGAGTTTGCCATAGGGTGACAACAATGCAATGTTTATAAACTTCTATTGAGCCATTCTGAAAAGCCATGAAAGCTGACGTCATATAGGCGTCCATGCCTATGTTCCGATATAAACTTACAGTATTTTGACTGTGTTCCTGTTTACCTACTAAAGAATCATCGGAAAGTATAGTTCTGGTTTCTTGTAAATATAACTTATGACAACAATTGCTGACTTACGACTAATATGTAATTATAGAAATGCCTAAAACCTGGCTTATTACGTGTCTTGAAAAAGCTGATTACGGACAAGAAGCAAGGAAACGACAGCCAACTTCACATCGTACATCGATTAGGCTCTTCTGAAAAAACTATTGACTACTAAACGTTTTTACAAAACTATTAAACACTATCGAACGATTATCAAATGATTGGAAGTAGAAAAAGTTTGTTATATTGTCTAAGTCAATGGACACACCGATCAAGGACTCGATTGTATCGTATCGATTGGGATCCTTGATTCGCATATGGTTTTTCTCATTTTTCTTGCAAACGATGGACTATCAAACGTTTTTATTAATTAATTCGCAACTATCAAATGATTTTGCATCGATTGAGCTTCGGAAAAACAAAATCCGGTTAGAAACAAAAAAGTGCCGGCCACTTTACACCAGATATTGATTTTGTTTTTCTGGAAAGACTAATGAGTATCAAACGTTTTTACAAGACTATCAAACACTATCAAACGACTATCAAACGATTTAAATAAAAAAAAGTTTAAAAAATAAATGTTGGCCTGCCAACTTCACGCAGGTAACTTTACGTATCGCTTAACTTGCGAAGTCAATCGCAAACCCGCAATTCCGTTCTATTATCTATCGGAAAACTAACACCGATCCGTGATTTGTTGGTGTAGGTGACACGTACGCAAAGTACGCTCCATGTGACGGCAGCCTCATAATTTCTGCAACTTTTATGTAAATCGATGTAGAATCGTTTGTCAATGATCGATGGTCTATTATTTCTAAGGAAAGGTTCATATTTTCCTTGTAATTGTAAATAAAACTGAGCTAAACACTTGGACTATAGCGTCGCTTCGTGAAAACTCATCTTAACGTCCTAATGTACCTGTATGTGTGACTATTCCGCTGGAGCCAGCGAATAGCGAGGCTTTGTATCGACACAAGACAATCCATGCAGTTGAGTAAATTGGATACTTATGCAAAACAACAGAGTTTTATTTACAATTACTAGGAAAATATGAACTTTTCCTTGGAAATAATAGACAATCACTCACCGATAAACGATTCTACATCGATTTATATAAAAGCTATCAAAATTATGAGGCCGCCGTCACATGGAGCGTAGTTTGCGTACACGTCACTTGCGCTAGCAAATCACGGAACATTGTTAGTTTCCTGATAGATAATAGAACGGAATTGCAGGTTCGCGATTGGCTGCAGAAGTTACGCGACACGCAAAGTACGCTCCATGGGGAATCAGCCTGACCATCGAGGAACTAGTTGAAAAAAATTCCCTAGCCAAATTTGTGTTATGTCGCGGCCTCGTGATAAATAATCTCACTAGAATTGAGCGGCGAATTCAAATGAGGGATTAAAATGGAATCACGATTTCTGTCTCCAAATCAGAATTCAATGCTTTCATTTTCTCAGTCTGTCATTAACGCATAAATAAGGTATATTCTAAACAATTCGGAGAAAGCTTTCTAGCCGCTACACGTGCATAAACATATGTGCTACAAAGAATGTAGGCATGGGCCATTTGTTTATTACTATCCTAACCGAGTGAATTTCTCAGGCACTCTCACTCCTGGAAATAAGTCAAGTCACTTGAGAGGATCGGCGGTAACGGAACGTTCGGTTAAGAGATAACGCTGTCCATGTGCTTCCCCAAATAAACTAAGGATAGGGTGTGCATGAGCCCTTTGTGCGTAAGACAAGGCCTTTGATCATTGTTTTGCATTTGTCAAATAAAACACATGAAAATCGGGAATGAACTATAGCAATCGTAGAAAAGTAATAGTGAACGGAACCTTTTGAAGAATATGCCGCGAACCAATGAAGGCATACAATATTGCAAGCAAACTGAAAACATTCCCGCGACTTCTGCTAGCCTTTTTCAGTTCTTTCTTCTAGTTTGAGTTTCTTCTAGTTTAAAATCATGTACACTGAGCGTCATTAATAGGTCCATCTTTTAGTGCAGTGAGGTAA